CCAAACCCAACCCATGGCTTTTTTTTTTTTTTTTTTTTTTTTTTTTTTTTTTTTTTTTAAATATTTTTTTTTTTTTTTTTTTTTTTTTTTTTTTTTTTTTTTTTTTTTTAGAGACAGGGTTTCGCCATGTTGCCCAGGCTGTCTCAGCTTTTTTACATCCATCATCTTCCCTGAGGCAAAGAAGGCAGCAGAGGCAGGACCAGCAACTAGTTCATCAAGATCCAGACTTAAGTGCGATTTTTTAAGAACTGTGGTAAAATATACATAATGTAAAATTACCATCTTAATCACGTTTACGTGTAGAGTTCAGTCGCATTAAATACACTCACATTGTGCAACTCTGACCACCGTGCATCTCCAGAACGCTTAGTCATCCCAAGATGAAACTCACAAGCACTTACTCCACGTCCTCTCCTTCCCACAGCCACCCTTCCACTTTCTGTCTCTGGGAGTTTGACTCCTCTAGGTACCTCAGATCAGTGGAATCACGGAGTATTGATCTTTTTGTGACTGGTTCATTTCCCTCGGCTGCTGATGCCTTTAAGGTTCATTCACACGGTACCAGGTATCAGAACTCTCTTCCTTTTTCAGGCTCAGCAATATCCCACTCTACGTAGTCCCATATTTTGTTTATCCACTCGTCCATTGATGGACCCTGGGTTGTTTCCAACTCTTGGCTCTTGTGACTTACTGCTGCTATCAACATGGCTTCACGCTCTGCTTCAGTCCCTGCTTTCGGTTGTTTTGGATATACTGACTGGGACTTTTTTTAAAATTAAAATTAATGCAAAATCTCCACAATTAACACAATATCGAAACTATTAGGTCGGTGCAAATGCAATTACAGTTTTTGCCATTGAAAGGAATGGCAAAAACTGGCCAGGAGCGGTGGCTCACGCCTGTAATCCCAGCACTTCGGGAGGCCAAGGCGGACGGATCACCTGAGGTCCGGAGTTTAAGACGAGCTTGGCCAACATGGTGAAATCCTGTCTCTACTAAAAATACACACACAAAAAAAAGTTAGCCAGGCGAGGTGGTGGGCACCTGTAATCCCAGCTACTTGGGAGGCTGAGGCAGGAGACTCACTGGAACCTGTGAGGCGGAGGTTGCAATGAGCCAAGATCCTGCCACTGCATTCCAGCCTGGGTGACAGAGCAAGACTCTGTCTCAAAAAAATGGCAGCCGGGTGCAGTGGCTCACGCCTGTAATCCCAGCACTTTGGGAGGCCGAGGTGGGCGGATCACGAG